AGGGAGTGAGCGAGTGAGAGTGAGAGAGACAGAGTGAGTGAGCGAGTGAGAGTGAGAGAGTGAGTGAGCGAGGGAGGGAGTGAGCGAGTGAGAGAGAGTGAGTGAGCGAGGGAGGGAGGGAGTGAGCGAGTGAGAGTGAGAGAGAGAGTGAGTGAGCGAGGGAGGGAGTGAGCGAGTGAGAGAGAGAGTGAGCGAGGGAGGGAGTGAGCGAGTGAGAGAGTGAGTGAGCGAGGGAGGGAGTGAGCGAGTGAGAGTGAGAGAGAGTGAGCGAGGGAGGGAGTGAGCGAGTGAGAGTGAGAGAGAGAGTGAGCGAGGGAGGGAGTGAGCGAGTGGTGCTGAGATCAACACCAGCCACTGTGGCGGAGACATTTCTGATCAGGACCACAAACCCCACAGGAAGAGTGAGCGCGAGTGCGAGGCCGGTGGTGGGGGAGTCCGGCTCAGCTGCACACGTCTCGTCTACATTGTCTACGTGTCCTGTGGGGCCTCTCGCGCTCTCTCTCTTTTTGGGGGTGGGGGGGGGGGAGGTCAGAAGTTCCTGTCTTTCACAGCGTTGGAGACGCTGTGGGTGGTGTGGAGGGGGTGGGGATGGGGATGGGGGGGAATCCAGAACAAGGTGGGCATCACCATTAATGGAGTCAGGCCACTGAGGGGTGAAATCGGGGGCAGTTTTTCCCCCAAAGGGCAGTGGGAATCTCTCTCTCTCTCTCCCCCAAAAGGCTGTGGGTTATGGTGGGTCCAGTCACACTGTCCAGACTGAGGTGGAGATGTTTGTGGGGTCAGGGGATACGGGGCAAAGGGGGTAATTGGGGTTGAGATACAGATCAGCCGTGATCTAATAGAATGGGGGAACAGGTTCGAGGGGCTGAATGGCCTCCTCCTGTTGCTATGTTGCCGGGTTTCTATGTCCCTGTTGCTTTTTGCGCAATTATTTTGTGTCTCAACTTTCTCAGACCTGTTTAGCAGCTTTAGCCGCTGTACGGGTCACCCCTGAGATATCTTCAGGCTCGAGACGTGAGCAAAGGCTCAGTTAATGGGTGTTGTGGGGGAGGAGGAATGGGGGGAGCGGAGGAGGTGGGGGGGGGGGTGCATTGTGAGTGATGAGGGTGAGGGAGGGGGGTGGGAGATGGGGGATAGGGGATGTAAATGAATGCACTGAAAGTGTGATGCACAAAATACAGTTTACAGTATATTATAGAATCATAGAATTACACAGCACAGAAGGAGGCCATTCGGCCCATCGTGTCTGTGTCGGCTCTTTGAAAAGAGCTTCCAAACCAACCCCACTCCCCCCCTCTCTCCCCATAGCCCTGATCAACCCCACTCCCCCGCTCTCGCCCCATAGCCCCGATCAGCCCCACTCCCCCGCTCTCTCCCCATAGCCCCGATCAACCCCACTCCCTCGCTCTCGCCCCATAGCCGTGATCAACCCCACTCCCCCGCTCTCTCCCCATAGCCCTGATTGACTACCACTCTCTGTGTGAAGACACTTTTTCTAACTTCCCTATTTGATCTGTTTGTGACTATTTGATATTGATGGCCCTGGTTTTGGACTCCCCCACAAGTGGAAACATCTTCCCTACGTCGATCCTATCAAACCTTTCATCATATTGAAGACCTCTATCAGGTCACCTCTTACCTTCCTCTTTTCAAGAGGAAAGAGTCCAAGTATGTTCAGCCTTTCCTGATAGGTATAGCCTCTCAGTCCTTGGGAATCTCCTTTGCGCCCTCTCCAGTGCCTCTACATCCCTTCTATAATGTGGGGACCAGAACTGCACACAGTATTCTAAGTGTAGTCTAACTAACGTTCTATAACAGTTTACCATAACTTCCCTGCTTTTCATTTCTATCCCTCGAGAAATGAACCCCAATGCCTGGATTGCCTTTTTTATGGCCTTATTAACCTGCGTTGCTACTTTTAGTGAATTGTGGATGTGTACCCCCAGATCCCTTTTGCTCCTCTACTCCATTTAGGTGATTATTTTCCAGGATGTACGTGACTTCCTTATTCCTTCTACCAAAATGTGCCAGCTCACACTTTTCTCCATTGAAATGCATTTGCCATTTAAATGCCCACTCAGCAAGTTTATTGATGTCTTGCTGTAATGTGTTGCTGTCCCCCAATTTGGGGGAGTAAATTTTGAAATTGTGCTGCTGATTCCCGAGACCAAATCATTAATGTATACTGTGAATAACAGTGGGTACCAATACCAATCCTTGTGGAACATCGCTGCCCACTCCCTGCCAGTCTGAGTAGTTGCTATTCTGCTATTTTCCCCCTGACTCCACGTGCTCTGACATTATTCATTAGTCTATTGTGCGGTACCTTATCGAACGCCTTTTGGAAATCTAAATATATTACATCTGCTGCATTCCCCTTGTCTACTCTCTCTGTTTCCCCTTCAAAGAATTCAGTGAGGTTGGTCGCGCCTGACCTTCCTGTTTGAAATCCGTGCTGATTATTCTCTATTATGTTTTCTGTTTCTAGATGTTTTTCTATCACCTCCCTCAGTAAGGATTCCATTATCTTTCCTACCCCCGGTGTTAAGCTGACAGGTCTATAGTTCCCTGGGCTTGTTCCATCTCCCTTTTTAAATATAGGTATAACATTAGCTGTCCTCCAGTCGTCCGTCACTACTCCCTTTTTCTAAAGAGTTATTATATATGTGTAATAGTGCCTCTGCTATCTCTTCCTTCGATTCTTTTAATATACGCGGATGCAATCCATCTGGACCGGGGGTTTTATCCTCTCTGAGTTTCGTTAGCTTTTCGATTACATCTCCCCTTCGTATCTTAAATGTATTTATATTATTTTCGATCTCTTCTTCTCCTGTCGTGTCCACCTGATCCGTCTCCCTGGTGAATCCTGAGGCAAAGTCATCATTTAATATTTCTGCCGTTTCGCTGTTGCTGGCTGTGAGCTTATCGTGTCCATCCCTGAGTGGCCCTATTCCTATTTTGATTTTTCTTTTGTTATTGATATGTCTGTAGAATATTTTACTATTTCTTTTTATATTCCTTGATGATTTAGTTTCATATTTCCTCTTTGCCTTCCTAATTTTTTTTGACTATTTTCCTGACCTCTTTGTATTTTTATTGTCATGCTCTCCCTTGGTGTTTAGGTACATAGTGAACAGTTTCTTTCCTGAGTCTCAACTTTGCCCTTATGTCTTTATTCATCCACGGTGTCTCATTATTATTTAGCTTTGTCTTGCTTAACAGCGGAATATATTTCTCCTGGACTCTATTGATCGCAGTTATAAATTTTTCCCACTGCTGCCCCATCTCTTTGTTGCCAATATCGTTTTCCAGTTTATTTTCCCAGTTCCATTCTCGTCCCCTCCAAATCAGCTTTTTCCCAATCTATTTCCCTGGTCTTTGTTGTACTCATGTCCTTCTCAATCTTTATCTTAAACCTTATTAAGTTATGATCGCCATTGTCAAGATCATCCCCTACTCATACTTCTCTTATCTGCTCTGGTTCATTTCCCATTACTAAATCCGCTTACATTCTGGGTAAGAAAGGAGTCCTGGACACAGTGAAGGAACTCCATTCCCTTATTCCCTTTACCTATCTCCTTGCCAATTTATTTGGGGGTAGTTAAAATCCCCCATGATTATTACTCTGTCTTTTACTCATTTCCCTAATTTGCTTGCACATTTCTTCCTCTGCCTCCCTTCCGCCGTTAGGTGGTCTGTAGAGAACCCCTATTTGTGTGATTGATCCCTTGTTATCTTTTATCTCTGTCCACACTCTATCCAGATTACCGACCCACCCGCCCGCCAGTGGAAATAGTTTCTCCCCGTTCACCCGATCGAATCCCCTCCTCTTAACCTTCTCTGCTCCAAGGACAATAATCGCGGCTTCTCTGCCGCTCCCGATAACTGAAGTCCCTCATTCCTGGTACCATTCTGGTCAATCTCCTTTGTGCCCTCTCCAATGCCTTGACATCCTTCCTAAAGTGTGGGGCCCAGAACTGCACACAGTCTCTCGCTGAGGCCTCACCAGTGTTTTATAAGGTGCTATGTCAAGTGCAAAGATTATTTGGGGTCCTGTAGCTCAGTGGTTAGAGCGCTCGCCTTGCAAGCGAGAGGACCCAGGTTCGATTGCAGGTCGGGGCGAAACCTCAGACAAGTTTCCTTACTCTACACACACACACTCGCCTCTGTTTACCAATAGTAAATAGGAACCCGGTTGTTAGTCAATTAACGGATCGATTTTCTGGGCGTAATAATCGCTTCCCCCCCCAAATTTTTAAAAAAATAATAATTTGGTCACTCATCCCACGCCTGTTTGTGGGGACGTCGCTGGGATAACAACAATCATCGCACTTGACACAGCGCCTCATCACGTCATCGAGACGTCTCAAAGCGCTTCACAGGATACCCTGTAAAGTGTAGTGACTGTGTGTTTTGTGGGCGAAACGCGGCAGCCAATTGCGTTAACCTCAAGCTCTCAGTCTTGTAACAGATTCTCTGCCTGTCGCCCTCCCCACCCCTCCCCTCCCGCACTCCCTCCCCTCTGAAGGGCCGACCAGCTACTGGGGGCCGGGAATCCCCCCCCTCTGCTCCTGGTGACCCCACAGCCAAAGCCCTAACTAACGGGGAGGGGGGTCCTGGCTGGACAGGCAGCGGGAAAGCTTGGCCAGACAGCGCTCTCCCTCTCTCTCTCTCAATGGCCGAGCTATGTGTGGGTTTAGCCGGTTATCCCAACACACACTCTGTACTCCCCGCACCCCCGAGCCTTGGCTCTCACCTGTGCCTAATACTCTCCGGAATTAGGTGAGCAGGAGGCGTCCCTCCAGAGAGAGAGAGAGAGAGAGAGAATTCCATTCAGCAATCTCTGGGGTTTCCATGTGTAGGTCGGAGTCCGGGAATTCTCAGACGGGTTTCGAGGCTCCTAAGCAATGGTGATGGGTTTCCGTGTGTGTCAGACACCGCGGCTGAACCCTCCCCACCCCCCACTCCCCCCGCGCAGAGGTTATTTTGACGTGTAGTGACTGAACCCGGTTTTGGCGAGTGCTGATGGGAACCCATTACGTCACACGAGAGGGTCATTAACAAGGACGAAGACGGACAAACCATCTCATTCGTTTCCACAGCTCGACTGAGAATTCATCAAACAGGACGTCACAGGATCAGGTATGTTTCCCCTCTTCCCCCCAACGCCCTTTCCCCCCCCACCACCTAGTGGGGGTCACAAACAGAGAAAACCACTCATTAATTGATGTCCTCCTGACGTGAAAGACGCTTTATAAATGGAATCTTGTTGTTGTTGTAATTACTCAGTAGCTCTATCTCCCTCTCTCTCTCTCTCTCTCTCTCACACACTCTCTTTCTCTCTGGGACATGAGTTTGTGCTGAACTGTGAGTTAACACTGCGATCTCCCCCTTCTCTCCCCCCTTTTTGGGGAGGACAAGTTTGCAGGGCTATGGGGAGAGAGCGGGTGGGGGTGGTGGGGTTGATCAGGGCTATGGGGAGAGAGCGGGGGATGGGGTTGAATTGGAACCTCTCTCCCCTCTCTCTCTCCCCCTCTCTCACCCTCCTCTTCTCACCCACCTGCCCCCCGACCGCCTCTCTCCCTCACTCCCCTCTCTCACTCCCTCCCTCCCTCCCTCTCTCTCTCTGTAGGTCAAGCACAACCTTCCCTGGTTTCCAAACCTGGAGACCAGTCAGGATTCTCAGCTCATCAGGACTCAGGATAAGAGTAAGTCCATCCATTGATGCCCCTCGCTGTGAGGAGGGGTGTACGGGTGTGTGTGTGTGTGTGGTGTATGTGTGTGTGTGGGGGGTGTGTGTATGGTGTATGCGTGTATGTGTGTGGGATGTGTGTATGTGTGTGGTGTGTGTGTGTGGTTTATGTGTGTGTGTGTGGGGGGGGTGTGTGTGGTGTGTGTGTGTGTGTGTGTGGTGTATGTGTGTGGTGTGTGTGTGTGTGTGTGTGTGTGGGGTATATGTGTGTATGTGTGTGGTGTGTGTGGTGTGTGTGTGTGTGTGTGGGGGGGTGTTGGTGTGTGTGTGTGCGTGTGTGTATGTGTGTGTGTGTGTGGGGGGGGGTGTGTGTGGTGTGTGTGTGCGTGTTTGTGGACAAGTTTCCTTACCCCCCCCGCGCCTGTGTTCCCAGCAGCCAGTAGGAACCCAGTTGTTAGTCAATTATTATTATTATTATTATTAATTGGGGGATCACTTTCCGGGGGGTAATAATCCCTTCAAAATAATAATAATAATAATAACAACACTCCCTGCGCTGGAGCATTACTCTGGACATTGCCCCCTCCTCCCCTCCTCCCTAAGGTCCACCATTGATGGCCGCGCTTTCAGCCACTACCCCCCGAAACTCAGCAACCGCCCCCCCTCTCCCTCCTTCCGTCTCACCCCCTTCCCTCCCCATCGTCAGGTCGTGCCTGAAGACCTCCTCTCCAAACATGCGTATGGTCACCTCCCCCCACCCCCCCACTCCCCTCTCCCCCCTCTCCCCCCCTCTCTCCGGCTCGGTTGTCGTGCTCCGCCATTGTCAAGCGCTCTGGGACACTGCCCTGCGTGGGTTGTTGGTGTGGTGTTGGTGTTAACCCCCCCGGACCCTCCTGCCCAGTTATGTACCAGGTTTACCGAGCAGACCACAGCCTCGCCCGCCTGCTGCTGCCCCTCAATGCCTCGGCCCAGGAGGTACTCACTGCCCTCGAGGAGAGGGCGACCCACGAGCTGCTGCTCGTCCAGGTCAACTCAGCCGGAGGTGAGTGGGGGCGCGGGGGGGGGGGGGGGGGGGGGGGGCGGCGCTGTTATTATTTACCGTTATTATTGTTATTATTATTCATAATGACTATCACTTTTATTTATTGTTATTGTTAATAATTGTTGTTATTTATTATTGTTAATTGTTTCTTATTTATTTATGATTAATAATTCTGACTTATTATTATTTGAATAAATAGCATTATTACTCATTGAAACGCTGTCACTGTCAGGGCCTTGGGACGTCTCTCCGCCGCGACGGGCGCGATACCCGCGTAATCTTGTTGTTGTTGTTGTTGTTGTTGTTGATTATTTATTGTTATTTATTATTATTTGTTGTCGTTGCAGACCGTGTGGAGCTGAGGCCGGGGACTCGCTGCTTCGCCACTTCACTGCGACTGAACGAGCGACTGTACGTCTGTCCCCGAGGCCAACAGCTGTCACTGGTGAGCAGCCGCCCCCACACACACTCTGTCTGTCTCTCTGTCACTCTCTCTCTCACTCTCTGCCTCTCACTCTCTCTCTCTCTCTCTCTCTCTCTCTCTCTCACTTTGTCTCTCTCACTCTGCCTCTCTCTCTCTCTCTCTCTCTCTCACTTGTCTCTCTCACTCTCCCTCTCTCTCTCTCTCTCTCTCACTCTCTCTCTCACTCTCTCTCTGCCTCTCTCTCTCACTCTGCCTCTCTCACTCTCTCTCCTCTTCTCTCTCTCTCTCTCTCTCTCTCTCTCTCTCACTCTCTGTCTCTCACTCTCTGCTCTCTCTCTCTCTCTCTCTCTCCTCTCTCTCTCACTCTCTCCCTCCCTCCCTCTCTCTCTCTCTCACTCTCTGCCTCTCTCTCTCTCTCACTCTGTCTCTCTCACTCTCTGCTTCTCTCTCTCCCTCTCTCACTCTCTCCCCTCTCTCTCTCTCACTCTCTCTCTCCCTCTCCCTCCCTCCCTCTCTCTCTCTCTCACTCTCTGTGTCAGCAGGTCCCACACCCAGACCAGCTTTGGCCGACCACGGGCAGCCTGGCCACCCTGGAGCACGTCAGCTCTAAGGACCTGGCCATTCACCTGACCGAGTACGACTGGGAACTGTTCTCTTCTGTCCACGAGGTAACGGCTGCGCGCAACTGGCTGCCGCGTTTCACCCACAAAACACACAGTCACTACACTTTATCCCGTGAAGCGCTTTGAGACGTCTCGAAGACGTAACGAGACGCTGTATCAAATGCCAGGATTATTATTATTGTATAAGTTGTTCCTGATCGCTGCTCTCTCTCTCTCTCTCTCTCTCTCGCCCTCTCTATCTCTCTATTCCTCCACCCCTCCCTCTCTGTCTCTCTCCCACCGCCCCCTCTCTCTCTCTCTATCTCTCCCTCTCTCTCTATCTCTCCCTCACTCTCTCTCTATCCCTCTCACTCTCTCTCTATCTCTCCCTCACTCTCTCTCTGTCTCTCTCACTCTCCCCCTCCCTCCCTCTCTCTCTCTCTCTCTCTCTTTCGTTCTCTCTCTCCAGGTGGAGTTGGTGTATTTCACTTTCGGGAAACAGAAGTTTCCCCACGGAACCACCGCCAACTTTGACCGTTATCTCTATCGCTTCAACCTCCTGCAGTTCTGGGTGGTGACAGAGATCTGTCTGTGCAGCGACTTAGACAAACGTGTTCAACTGCTCAAAAAATTCATCAAACTCGCTGCCTAGTGAGTAGGACCTTCGTCGGGCGATGGTGGGGGCGGGAGGGGGGGGTGGGGGGAAGGGGAGAAGGGCTAACACGTCTTCAACTCTTCAGTACTTAAGTTTCGCCCACAAAATACACAGTCGCCACACTTTATGGTACGTCCTGTGAAGCGCTTTGAGACCTGATACGGCGCTGCATCAAAGGCAAAAGGATTATTATTATTAATAAACTTTCAAAAAAACATTCACACGATGATGCAATCGAGATCAAGGCTTCGTAGCGGGAGCTTTACTGCGTCTCCAGCCCTGACTCCAGGTGGGAATCTGGGTCCACAGTACCCCATCCCTAATCTCCTCGCCCTCCACACCCTCCAGATCCCAACCCCAGCTCAGGCCATAGGATCACAGAATAATACAGGAGGAGGCCATTCTGCCCATCGTGTCTGTCGGCTCTTTGAAAAGAGCTTTCAAATCAACCCCACTCCCCCCCCCCCTCTCTCCCCATAGCCCTGATCAACCCCACTCCCCGCTCTCTCCCCATAGTGCTGCAAACTTGTCCTCCGCAAATAATTATCTACTTCTCTCTTAAAAGCTGTTAGTGACTCGGCTCCACCGGCCTTTCAGGCACCACTCCAGATCCCAACAACTCGCTGTGTGAAGACATTTCTCCTTCCCTCCGTTTCTTTTAACGACTATTTTAAATCGGTGCCCTCGGGTTACCCACCCCCGCCAGTGGAATAGTTTCTCCTTCGATCCCCGATCAATCCCCTCCTCTTAACCTTCTCTGCTCCAAGGACAATAATCGCGGCTTCTCTGCCCTCCCGATAACTGAAGTCCCTCATTCCTGGTCCATTCTGGTCAATCTCCTTTGGCCCTCTCCAATGCCTTGACATCCTTCCTAAAGTGTGGGGCCCAGAACTGCACACAGTCTCTCGCTGAGGCCTCACCAGTGTTTTATAACTGGTCCAAATCCCTGACTGTCCAGCGCCTTGGGATGAACTTCTGACGTGAAAAGCGCTGTGTAAATGTGATGTATTGTTAAGTGCTCTCTCTCTCTCTCTCTCGTTTCCAGTTGTAAAGAGCAAAAGAACATGAATTCTTTTTTTGCTGTGGCGTTCGGGCTGAGTAACAGCGCTGTGTCTCGGCTCAGCAAAACCTGGGAGGTGAGTCCTGTCTCCTCGCTTCACTTTGAGACATCCTCCAGTTATTGTGGAGTCTCCCTGTGTCCCTCAGTGGTTAGAGCCTTCGCCTCACAAGCGAGAGGACCCGGGTTCAATTCCCGGAGGGGTCAGGTCAGGGCGAAACCTTCCTCCCCAAACACACACGCACACACACACGCACACCCCGCACACACACGCACGCGCACACACACATGCACACACACGCACCACACACACACTCCTCTGTTTACCAGCAGTCAGTAGGAACCCGGTTGTTAGTCAATTGGAGGATCGCTTTCTGGGGGTAATAATCCCTCCTCCCCCCGAAAAATTGGGTCACTCAATCCACAGCTGTTTGTGGGGGATCGCTGTGCGCAATTGGCTGCCGTGTTTCGCCCACAAAATGCACAGTCTGTACACTTTACAGTGTATTCTGTGAAGCGCTTTGAGACGTCTCGAAGTGATGAGGCGCTGTATCAAATGCGAGGATTGTTATTATTATTAATATAACTATCATCATCGTTTTATTAATACAACATAATTATTAATATATTTTTATTATTAATAACAATATAATGATGATCGTTATTAATATCATTGTTCTATTGATATTATTATTATTAACAATATTATTATAAAGTAAGACGCTGAGGTTGTTAAGTCGATCTGTGGCTGTTTCAGGGTCTGACAAACAAAACCAGACGAGTGTATCAGAGCTTTGAGAGACTGATGGTAAGTGATGGCACCAAGTGGTTGGGTTTGTGTTCATGTCAATTGGGTTTCGCTTTCCTGGAGGGATGGAGGGAGGGAGTGAGGGAGGGAGAGAGAGGGAGGGAGGGAGGGAGGGGTGGAGGGAGAGAAGGAGGGAGGGAGGGAGAGAGAGAGAGAGGGAGACAGGTGGAGGGAGGGAGTGAAGGAGAGAGAGAGCGGGAGAGAGAGAGGGAGGGAGGTGGAGGGAGAGAAGGAGGGAGGGAGAGAGAGAGAGAGGGAGAGAAGGAGGGAGTGAGGGAGAGAGAGAGAGAGGGAGGGAGGGGGTGGAGGGAGAGAGAGAGGGTGGGAGGTGGAGGGAGAGAAGGAGGGAGGGAGAGAGAGAGGGAGAGAAGGAGGGAGGGAGTAAAGGAGAGAGGGAGGGAGGGAGGGAGGGAGGGAGGGCGGTGGAGGGAGAGAAGGAAGGAGGGAGAGTGGGAGAGAGGAAGGGAATGCGAAGCAGAGACACTGACGGGCGACGCTGTTTGTCCACAGGACCCTTCGCGGAACCACAGGGCCTACAGGATGGTGGCCGGTAAACTCAGTCTCCCCTTCCTGCCCTTCATGCCTCTGCTGATCAAAGGTGCGGAATACAATAAATAATAATAATAATGAATAATAATCCTTGCATTTGACACAGCGCCTCATCACATCTTCTCGACGTCTCAAAGCGCTTCACAGAATACACTATAAAGTGAATTGACTGTATATTTGTGGGTGAAATACAAGGATCATTATTATTATTGGTATTATTATTGGTATTATTAGTATTCATATTATTATTAATAAATTATTGCTATTATTCATATTATTATTATTATTTAGCTTGTTTTTTTTTACGCAATGGATTTCGGGGTCAATATTGGTCCAAAGCAGCTTCAAGGGTTCAGTGTAAAGCTCTCTCCGCACCGCAGGGAGACTTGAGGAAGACTTGGGAGAGAGAGAGAGAGAGAGAGAGACAGGGAGTCAGAGAGAAAGAGAGAGACCCAACGAGAGAGACAGAGAAAGAGACTCAGAGAGAGAAAGTCAGAAAAGAGAACCAGAGAGAGAGAGATCCAGAGAGAGAGAGAGAGAGAGAGGTGGGGGTGTGGGAGTCAGAAAAAAGAGCGTCAGAGACAAAGAGAGATTTGAAGAGATAGAGAGAGGGGGAGAGAGAGGGTCACAGACACACACACACACACAGAGGAGAGAGAGAATGAGAGAGAGAGAGAGAGAGAGGGACAGAAAGACAGAGAGAGGGAGAGAAAGAAAGACTCTGCGAGAGAGAGAGAGAGAGCGAGAGAGAGTGTGACTGAAGCCGACTTGTGTCCTCTCTCTAGACCTGACCTTCATCGAGGAGGGCAACAAAACCTTTGTCAATAACCTCGTCAACTTTGAGAAAATGGTGAGTGCGCCGTTCGTTGACGTGACAATAAACTCGCGGCCGTTTATTTCACCCCGAGCCGTCCCCGACTCAACCCCCGACACCAGGTTACGCTCACGTGGAGCCTTCCACGTCGGGAGGACGTCCCAAAGGCGCTGGACGGTCAGGGGTTCGGGCCCCGAGCCGGGGGTGAGTGGATTGCTGGACCGCGTTAATCACTCAATAATTATTATTATTGATCGTTGTCGAGGTATCTCTGGGACGTTCTCTCCGATGGCGTGAAAGGTCACTGATGAAATTTAATTTTGTTGCTGTTGTTATTTGTTAATTCAGCCACGAAACTCTGTCACACTCTCCCTCTACCCCTCCCCCCTTGCCCCCCCCCCCACCACTCCACAACCCTTCCTTCCCCATCTTCGGTCACCTCCCTCCTCCTTCCCTCCCTCCAGCTCGGAGTCGTGCTCCGTCACTGTCGAGCGCTCTGGGGGGGGGGGGGGGGGCTGTGTAACTCTAAGCTGTTGTTGGTAACTGTCTTTTTCTGTTGTAGCGGATGATCGCACGGACTGTGAACCTGTTTAGACGATGTCGGACTCACTCCCAGAGTAAGTCTCTCTCCTTAGCGCTGACAGCACCAAACGCTCATCCCCTCCCCTCCCACTCCCTCTGGGTCTCTCCCATCTTCCCCTCTGACTTGTCGTGTGCTCCCCACCCCTCTCCAGCCTTCAATTCTTACCCCAAACCTCTGCCGCTCCCCATCTCGTCTCTCCAGTCTTAAAAGGACCCGGGTTCCCGGGCGGGTCAGGTCAGGGCAAAACCATAGGCAAGTTTCCTTATTCCCACACACACACACACACACACACACACATACACACACAGACACACACACACATACACAAACACAGACAGACAGACACAAACATACACATACAGACACACACACACAACCACACAGACACACCACACACACACATACAGACACACACATAGACACACACCACACACACAGACACACGCACACACATACAGACACACACACATACACATACAGACACACTACACACACACACATACACACACAGACACACACACATACACATACAGACACACACACACACATGCACATACAGACACACACAGACACACACACACAGACACACACACAGACGCCTCTCTTTACCTAACAGTAAGTAGGAACCCGGTTGTTAGTCGATTGGCGGATCGCTTTTCCGGGGGTAATAATCACTTAAAAAATAATAATTTGGTCACTTCAATCCACGACTGTGGGACATTTCTGTGGGCAATCGGCTGCCGCGTTTGGCCCACAAAATATACAGTCACTACGCTTCACAGTATGTTCTGTGAAGCGCTTTTTCGAAGACTTGATAAGGTGCTATAATTCCTGGTGATTCCTCCCAGAATACGTTCCTTCCAACCAGAGGCAGTGAGTTGAAAGTCTCCTGACTCAAGAGGAGGGATTGCTACCAACCGAGTGATCCGGACTGACACCAGGCCATCGAATATTAAAGGCACCACATTGAGTGTTTGGATTATCTCTCCTGATTGTTTCACCCGCTCAGTCTCTGCTCTGAACTGTTTTCTCCTTTCATTTCAAGTGATACCCCAGAAGATGGAGCCAGAGATCTCGTCTGCTCAGATTTCGACGAGTGAGTCTCGATTCATCCCACACTATTTTTCCTTTGGTCACCCGTGCGTCTGACACATGCAGGAATCCATCGCCACGCTGCCGCGTTTCGCCCACGAAACGCACGGTCTGAGTCACTTTACAGTATGTTCTGTGAAGCGCTTTGAGATGTCGCGAAGACGTGAAAAGGCGCTGCATTAAATGCAATTTTTATTAAGTGAATCTAAACCAGACTGAGAGTTCCATATAATAAGAATAATAATGATAATTGTAAGTGATAAGGCACTATATCGAATGCAAGGATTATAATTATTAACATATATAACAATATGGTCGGGAAAATTCTTGAGTCCTTAATTAAAGATGTCGTTATGGGATTCCTGGAAACCATAACAAGATTAGGCAGTCAACACGGCTTTACAAAGGGAAGTCACTTCACTAATCTTTAGAGTTTTTTGAAGATGTATCTACAGGTTAGAGAGGGGGGAACCAGTAGATTTAGATTTTAGATTTTAAAAAGGCATTTGACAAAGTGCCACACAAAAGGCTATTGCACAAGGTTAAGGCCCACGGGATTAATGGGAACATATTAGCATGGATTGAAGAGTGGCCAACGGGTAGAAAACAGAGAGAGTAGGGATCATTTCGAATTGGCAGGAGATGTGACTAGTGGAGTGCCACAAGGATCAGTGCTTGGGCCTCAGCTATTTACAATTTACATCAATGATCCAGACGAGGACATTGAATGTAACGTATCTAAATTCCGGATGACACTAAACTCGGTGGGAGAGTGAGCTCTGAGGATGATGCAAAAAGATTGCAACGGGATATAGATAGGAGGGGGAGTGGGCGAGTAGGTGGCAGATGGAATTTAATGTGGGGAAGTGTGAAGTTATTCACCTGGTAGAAAAATAGAAAAACAGATTATTTTCTAGAGGGGGAGAGATTAGATAGTGTTCAGAGGGATTTGGGTGTCCTTGTACACCAGTCTCAAAAAGTTAGTTTGCAGGTGCAGCAGCAACTAAGAAGGCGAACGGCAGTTAGCGTTCATTGCAAAAGGTTTAGAGTACAAGAGTAGGGAAGTCTCGCTGCAACTGTATAGGGCTTTGGTGAGACCGCACCGAGAGTATTGTGTGCAGTTTTGGTTCCTTATTTAAAAAGGACATACTTGCCCTCGAGGGGGTGCAGCGTAGATTCACTCGGTTAGTTCCTGGGATGAGGGGACTGACCTATGAGGATAGGCTGAATAAACTGGGGCTGTATTCTCTAGAGTACAGAAGAATTAGGGGGATCTTATTGAAACATATAAGATTCTTAAAGGGCTGATAAAGTAGACACTGAGGGTCTGTTTCCCCGGTGGAGAATCTATAACCAGGGGTCACAGTCTGAAAATTAAGGGTCAGCCTTTTAGAACAGAGTTGAGGAAACATTTCTTCACTCAGAGGGCAGTGACTTTATGGAATTCACTCCCCAGAAGGCTGTAGATGTCAGTCCTTGAACATCTTCAAGGCTGAGACTGATAGATTTTTAAAAACAGAGGGATTAGGGGATATGGGGAGCAGGTAATTAGAGTTAGGTCTGAAGATCAGCCATGATCTTATCGAATGGCGGGGCACAGGCTCGAGGGGCCGAATGGCCTACTCCTGCTCCTAATTCTTATGTTCTTATATATTATTAGGGGGACTGCGGGATGGAGTTCCAGAGGGTGGGGGCAGAGTAGTGAGGCAGGTGAGGCAGGGGATGTGAAGCAGGCCAGAGCCCGCTGAGCGGAAGGAGCGAGTAGGATGGTAGGGGGTTAGGAGGTCACAGAGGTAGGAGAGTGAGGCCATGGAGGGCTTTGAAGGTGAGGACCAGGACCTTGAACTGTATCCTCTGTGTGATGGGAAGCCGGTGGGGGTGATAGGGTCACCGAGTCTGGTGTGGGAGAGGACACGGGCTGCAGTTAGTTCTGGATGAGCTGCAGTCAGTGGAGGGAGGAGTTGGGGGCCGACAAGCAGTGAGTTTGCATAGTCGAGCCTCGATGTAATGAAGGCGTGTGTGAGGGTCTCGGGGGCTGCGGAGTGAGGCAGTGGCGGAGCCGGGCGAGGTTGGGAGGTGGGGGAGGCAGAGCGGGTCATGGCGTGGATGTGGGTAGACAGGATAG